TAGTCCTACCTTTTGCAAGCAATAGGAAGTCGACTGGCATACTCCACAGTATCCTGAGCATAGGAAACAAACCCCAAAGCCCGCCCCCACAATGACATGCTTCCCCCAATAAGGCCATACTTACTCCAGCGAAACCACATCTTCTAATAGTGCCATCCCCTATGAGATTATGGGGGCCAATTATATTCAAACTACCACAGCAGGCATTGTGGCCTGCTCATAATCTTATTGTTTTAGAAGTGGAGATGGGATACCCAGAGCAAGCCAGATAACTAGACTGGCAGTGTTAGCTAACTCTGGATTTAGCAAGAGATATTATTTCATTAAGTAAATAAAGAGCAAAAGACACCAGATAGTAACCTTTGGCCATACCATACATCCACACATGCACACACAATTACTTATAAGCAATCTTAGTTGAGGTTACTATTGCTGTAATGAAACGCCATGACAAAAAGCAACTTGCAGGGAAAATGGTTTATTTTGTTTATGTTTCCACATCACTGTTCATAATTAAAGGTAATCTTGACAGTAGCTAAATAGGGTAGGAACATAGAGGCAGAGACTTGTGGAGGGGTGCTACTTGCTGGGTCTCTGACTATAGGCTGTTCAGCCTATTTTGGGAGGTCCTGCTACACAGCACTTAAATGGGCTTTGTGAGCAGAATGCTACAACTTGCTTAATGGTGACATAGATCAATTGCATCCCTGGAGCTGGGGCAGTAAGGATGGCTCACAGAGGCAGTGAACATACCTCCTCCATGTTGAATGGGGCAGTGACAATAGGCAAAGCTAGTGTTAGTCCTAGCCATGCCTACTTATCACTTTAAAAAAAATAAAAACCTTTCCTTGTCAGAAAACGATTACAGATACACTATAAGACAGATTCAAATGAAAAAGCCCTCTGAAAGGGTCATAGTGTTGGGTAAATGCACATGGGCTTAGGAAAGAGAAGGAAGAGTATAGACAATCATAGATAAAAGAAGTAAAGATAATAAAATAAATATTAAACTTTAATATAGAGTAAAAATAAGCCACATAAAGATGGAATATACACAGAGATTCTAAACTATGTGTATTATTGTGTTTTCTTTGGATTTTTTGACTGTTAATGAGCTAACAGCTGAAAAACATTTGATTCAAGGGCCTGATAAGCTAAACCAACATATATCTTAAAGGTATCTTGACTTCAAAATGATTCTAAGGATATGTTACTTTGGAAAAAAGGTTCTTTTGTTTCTACAGAAGGTGAGAACCTGTGGATTCCTTCCAAGCTAATGTGGTTTGATGGAATAAAACCCCTGAAAGGTCTTCGTGAACCCTAAAAATACTTCACTCAACAATCAGCAGGAAACAGTTTGGAGAAAATAATGTCCAAATTCCCAAAATGATTTTTTATAAATGTTTGTTTTCATTTGAAGGGGTGGATTATAAATAGTTAATGGTTATAATCAAGGTCTTTCTAAAGAAAAAAGGGGGTATGATATAAAAATGAATACATTAGTAAGACATTGGTTTATTAAAACAAATTTAAGGTAAATTTTGTTATCTATTTCTACTCTTGTTTAAAGTATTATTTTAATAGCTCATTTAAAATATAATATATAATTAAAAATTATAGATTTAATAGTCATTTATAGTAGTCAAACTTGTAGTCATGTTAGTTAGGTTTTCTACATATACAGAGATATATTTCAGTTAGATAGGTAACCTTCAAAGACTTAAAAGGCCTACAGAATATGGCATTTAAAATGTGTTAAGAACTTAGAATTTTCTTAACAGTGAGACATGTCTGCTTCAGGCAGCACCAACCTTCAAGAGGTTGATTGGGATTGAAGAAACTTGTTATGTAATTTGCCTTCAATGTCAAGGCTAGCCATTTGGGCAAGGAACTGCTCTTACCTGGATTGTTTGATGGTATACTGTATGACCTGGACATGCAGGACACACACACACAAAAAAAAAAAGACAGCTGAACTTTCCAAAAGAAGGTGAGACAGTACTTCAGGGTTTCTATTTCACCAAAGAAACCATCAGACATTCTGAAGTACTCAGGAGAAAGTGACTGAAAAACTGCCAATATAGGCAAAACAGTCTTTCAAATTCTTGTTTCACTGAAATGCCAGATATTATGGGACTATAGGATAATGATGGATGCTCCAATGTTACAGAAGAACTTTGAGTGACTGTCTAGGCAGCATGATGTCTCTGTCGATTCTAGTGTTTTGGAAATTGCTTACAATGCACTTCCTATTTACTTAGGTAATATTATATCCTTCTTGGGTCCATGATGGAGTTGAAGACAGTTATAGTTTTCCTTAGATATAATAAAAGATAACTAAGATGTGAAACTTTAGACTCAAAAATATAAAATAGATAATAGAATATTTTCTTCAATTTTGTCAGATACAAATATAGACTAAATATTGTAATTGTAATTCTTTTTTGATAACTGTTTATTCATATATAATTCTACTATGTTAAAGTTAAAACCTTCCTTTTTATTTACACAGGAAGGAGAAATAATGTGGGAATTCCCTCTGTATGCTATGAAAATGTTTTATTACCATTGGTTAATAAAGAAGCTGCTTTGGCCTATTGAAGGGTAGAATATAGCTATGCAGGAAAACTAAACTGAATGCAGGGAGAAAGAAAGTGAAGACAGGCAGACACTATGTAACCACCCAAGAAATGAAATGTGAAGTAACAAACCATGAGACTTGTAGTAAAGTATAAAATAATAGTAATAGGCTAATTTAAGATATAAGAGCTAGCTAGGAATATGCCTGAGCTGTTGGCCAAACAGTGTTGTAATTAATATAGTTTCTGTATGATTATTTGGATCTAAGTGGCTGGGAAACAAAAGCAGAGTCTCCCTTTACAGTCAGACTTCTGCTCTTTTTTCCTCTATCAACTTCTGGGGTGAGTCACTATACTCTATACAATGCTGGGAATGAACCCAGAACCTTCTGCGTGTTTGGTAAGTACTTTATTAACTAAACTACTTCCATTCCTAGCCTGAGAGAATGTCTTTTTGAACAGAATTTTCTCTTTGCCTTCCTGGCATCCTTTTTTTTCAAGAAGCCTTTCCTGTAACTGAAAGTGGGGATCATACAGTGCCCAGTATCTCAGGGAGGCAAACCCTAATCCAAGAAGAGGGTTTCAGGAAAAGTCTGACCCCCTGAAATGGGATGGAGGACTTAATTTTGTAATTGGCTTATAAAGACCATGCAGATTCTTTTTCCAAGTTTTATGTATAAAAGTTTTCTTGTAGTGAAATTTTTGAGAGGAGTTACATTAAGTAACCAATGGAAGCAGATGCAGAGATCCACAGCTAAGCCCTGGGCTGAGCTCCTAGAATCCATTCAGAGAGGGAGAAGGGATTATATGAGCAAAAGGACCAAAATCACACAGAGACAGCTGACCAGAGCTCACTGACTATGGACTAGAGAACCTGCATAGGACCAAACTAGGCTCTCTGAATGTGGGTGATGGTTCTGTGGCTTGTGCAGTCTGTGGGTCCCCTGGCAATGAGACCAGGGTTTATCCCTAGTGCTTAACTAGCTTTTTGGAGCTCATTCCCTATAGAGGGATACATTGCTCAGCCAAGATACGGGGGGGAGGGGCTTGGTCCTGTTTCAACTTGATAAACTAGGCTTTGTTGACTCTCCATGGGAGGCCTTACCCTTTCTGAGTAGATGGGGGATTGGGAGGAGGGGCAGGAGAGAGAACTGTGGTTGGTATGTAAAATGGAAAAAAAAAAACCACTTAAATAAAAAATTAAAAAAATATATATTTTGGTGGTTCTCAAATACTTTTAAAGATTGTTGTGAACGATCCCCTTACCCTACCCAAACACACCTGTTTAAAAAAAAAAAAAAGCAAAAAACAAAAAAGAATGTTTTATAAACCAAGTTGTAAGGCAGTTTTATGTGGGTAATTTTCCAGATTTGGCACTGAGAGGCAAGTGCTTGAAACTCAAGGTTATACACCATTTTGGCCTTCACAGAAAAATTTGTCTTTGACAAGAATGCCATAGAATATATATTAGTTTCCCCATGGGCAAATTGGTTCTTCCTTCCTCTCTTTCTTTCTTTCTTTTTTTTTTTTCCTTCTTTTTTGCCTCACTGTGTAGATTTAGACTTACCCGGCCTGGAACTGGCTGCAGAGAAGAGACTGTGCTCAAACTCAGAGATACACCTGCCTCTGGCTCCCAAATGCTGGGGTTGAAGGTGCGCACTACCATGCCAGGCTTTTCAATTTGGGTTTTATCAGTGATATCTCAAGTTTCCTGTTTTTATTAGCAAAAAGGACCAATGAGATCATGGGGTGGGGGTGACTTGTTTTCCTTAATTCTCTTTCTAGTCTGCTTCGATTTGAACATATTCAACTTAGCCTCAGCTCAGCTTTGACGCTCGGTAACCGAGGTGTAGTACTCACTTTCAATTTATGAACTCATTTCAGCTTGAGTTTATGGAAGCAATATTACCAAATGTGGAGAGCACCTGTATTTACTGGAAGGCAGTGTCCAGGGCATTGTTGGAAATACTTGAGGAAGTTATAAAAACTAAAATTCATCCAGATGAGTGGAATTAACACTCACAGGAAAGTCCTGCTCTATGATGAGACACGTGACACACATGAAAAACAATTCCGTCTAGCGATGTGGCTTTGGGTAAAGCACTTACCACGCAAGTGAGAGGACTTCTGTTAAAATCCCCTGAAGTCAAGTAAACATGAGATGCAGCAATGCACAGCTGTAATCCCAGCATTCCTATCACCAGACAGGGGAATCCCAGAAGTTCACAGGGTAGCTATCATATGCAGCAGATACGAGAGTTCTTGCCTCACTTAAGGTGGAAGGTAAAGATTGACACCCAAAGCTGACCTTAAAAACCTAGACTCTGTTCTGTAGTCTATGCACATTCACACAAGTAGGCCTTTAAAAAGTACACAGTACTCAATTAATAGCAGGGACTAAGACCAAACAAACAAACAAAACCCGATTCTGTACATGTCTTTAACATTTTTTAAAAAATTGAATACATTTTGCAAACTGAAAAAGAGAAAAACCCATCTTTGAACCAATGAGCTCATTAGTCAGGGTTTTCCAAAGGAAATTGGTATAGAAGGCATTACTAGATTGTTGTATATGATAGATCCAAAAAGGGCTGGCTGCACACCAGGGAAGAAGAAAACTTGGTAGATGCCCACTCCAAGAAGCCAAATGCCTCAGGAGCCTCAATCTGAGGCTAAAAGTTTGGAAACTCCTGGAGAGTCACTCAAATTGAGGCCATGTTGAGAGGAAGAAGAAAATGGAGTCAGGTATCAGCAGATGATCTTAGCAGTACTGACAGATGAGCTCAGCTGGAAGGGAAGGCAGGTGTGTATCTGCTGCCTTTTCCTAAGATGCCTCTGAAACGCTGCTGGAAGCTGTTGCCCACATTAAATGTGAGTTTTCTCCTTCAGTCACTGTCCCGCATGTCACCCCTGTGGAAATGTCCCCATCAAAATACACAGGTGTATTTCACCAGCCAAGTGGATAACAGAGACCACCCACTCCAAGTCCATCCTTCATTAATTTAATACCCAACAACATCCTATGTTATACACAATTTCTAAAGAAAGACAATAAGGTATTTTACCTAACATAATTTTCATGTACAACTGAAAACATAGTTTCCTTAGAATAGGCGTCAAAGTCCCCTGAAGAAACTTTATTCATTTATTATACCATAATTAAATATGACAATACATAGCAAAAACATTGCTGACATTAACTCAATAAATATCATCCATGGTAAAGGAACACCCATGAAAGAAAACATGACCAGTTTCTTAACACATGTGTGCATATGTTTCAGCTTCATTTTCTGTTGTAGTGACAAAATATGCAGGTAAAAGCAATATAAAGGAAAGGGGGTTTCTTGGCTCATAATTCCATCACCGTGAGGAAGCCAACATGGCAGAAACCTGGAGCAGCTAATCACGTTACATCCACGGGGGGTGGAGGGGGAGGCTGAGAACAATGAGTTAATGCACGTATGCTTGTGCTCACTTTCTCCACGTTTATACACTCCTGGTCCCAGGCAGGGAATGGCACTTCCCAAAGTGGGTGAGTCCTTTCACCTCACTCTTCAGTCAAAATAACTGCACACCGGCGTGCTCAGGGGCCGTCTCGCATGTGGTTCTGGATTTTTTTTTTAAGCTGGCTATCGACATTAACCATCACACTATAAAAATAAGCACATATATTCTTTTTGTTTTTGAATCAGATCTCACTATGCATCCCTAGCTGTTCTGGAGCTAACTGTGGAGACCAAATTGGCCTTGAACTCATCGAAACTCATTTGCCTTTGCTTCCTGGTGCTGAGATTAAAGGCATATGCCACCACACCTATCAGCATATATATTCTTAACAAAATAAGACAGAATCTTGTCCCATAGGTATGCTATATTTATAAGTATCTTTTTTCTGGTGTCATTTTGTATGTCTTCATCTTCAGAAAGCACTAAGCATCTTGGTTTTTAAATTTTTAATTTAAAATAAATTGTAGCACAAAAAGATTGTAAATAAATAAAAGCATCATGCCGCCAAATTAGCTAGCTTTTTACCTTGAAAAGTGACCTGGAATTCTACTCTTGAAGTATCTGAGCTATTTATTACCCTGTTTGGACTACTGAGTTGTAGCTTCCCATGGGTTTTGATCACCAGACACGGTAATACAAAGGGAATCCAGGAATAGTCTCCTGTTCCCCTTGTCCTAGTGCAGTTTGTTGCTGCTATTGCTAAAACACTGACCAAAGTCAACTTGAGGAGGAAAGGGTTTGTTTTGGATTACACTTTATACTTCAACATTAAGAAAGCGAGGGTAGAATTTCAAGACGAACTTGGAAGTAGGACCTAAGCAGAGACGATGAAGGAAAAGTGATTATCAGCTGGCTCCTTCTGGCTTGCACAGCCCACTTTCTTAGACAACACACAACTACTACCTAGGAGTGGTGCCACCCACAGTGGCCCTGCACACTCATCATTAGTCAAGAAAGTCTCCATACACTTGCCTGCAGGCCAATCTAATGGAGGCAATCCCTCAATTGATTCTCTTTCCAGATAACTCTCATAGTGTCAAGTAGACAAAAAATAACTGGCGCATCTCCTTTGCTGCAATGCAGTTTCATTCCTCTCTGGTAGTGTTGAGCCCCACTCCTGGTAACAGAACTGATTTTAGTTAACTCAAGGGCACAAGGAACCTAGAGTAAATGGGGATGGGTCACAGTGGGTGTGCAAGGGTGTCTTTGCCTGCAGTTCAAAGGAATGGCTGCTCCTCCTGGTAGTAGGACATCCCTGCATTGAGCCATGAGATCAGTAGAACAGGAAGCAAAAGTTTGTGAGTTCCAGGGATGATTCCCTGCCCTGACTCCTAGACCCACGAGAGAAACGGTACCATATTAGATGTCAAATTTAGAGCAAACCCATCCTTCTGGAGAATCCTGCACTAGGACTGTGAACTACCGCTATAACTACATTTCGGAAGGACATTCCACCATTCAATCAACCAAAATTCTTCACAATAGTAGGGAACATGGTTAAAAAAAAAAAAGATACTACCTATTAACCCTTGCCACACTGTTTAAGCAAACTTCAGAGAATTATGTCATGCCACCATTTACATACAAGAGTTAAACTTAGAAATAAATAGTTCATACATCTATTTCAAATAACAATATAACATAATTTTTGGACATTTCCTCCAGGTTATTTAACTTTTGGAGCATTCTGCATAAATTACTTCGCATTGACCTTTCATAATGCATATGTGTAGTACTCCACTACCTGAAGAATTTTACAGAATTTGAAAACTATTTCTTACAACCTTCAACTTTCTGATGTTTCTGTACAAGTTTTGATATTGGGTGTATTCTATTCTTAGTTTGTTCCTTTATGTTTGTTAATTTAACAATATGATTAGTGGCAGTCCTCACAACTTCATATTGATACTTGTTTTCTTCCCTAAACATTGTCAAGTTCTATTTATAGAAGGGACATGCAATACGAAGGCAGTTCTGCATTCTATGCTTAAGAATTCTCTCTAGTATGGGTCTTTTCATGTATTCTAAGGGAACCACAACGAGTGAAGGCTTTCCCGCACTGCTTACATATGAAGGGCTTCTCACCCGTGTGAATTTGTTCATGTCTCTGACAATCACCCAAAGCAGGAAAGGCTTTCCCACACTGCTTGCATGCATAGGGTCTTTCTCCACTGTGAATCCGTTCATGGCGTCTAAGAGAACTATAACCACTGAAGGCTTTCCCACATTCCTTACAGTCGTAGGGCTTTTCCCTAGTGTGAATCCTTTCATGGCGCTGAAGAGAACTCTGTATAGTGAAGGCTTTCCCACACTCCTTACACTTATAGGGCTTCTCTCCGGTGTGAATTCGCTCGTGTATTCGAAAGGTACCCGAAGAGATGAAACCCTTCCCGCACTGCTCACAGACATAGGGCTTCTCCCCGCTGTGAATTCTTTCATGGTTTCGAAGGGAAGTGCGAGTGGTGACGGCTTTATTACACAAGTTACAGACATAGAGCTTCTCTCCCGTGTGAGTCCGCTCGTGCACTCGACAGGTACTTGAAGAAATGAAGCATTTCCCACAGTACTTGCACACATAGGGTTTTTCTCCACTGTGAATTCTTTCATGTCGAGGGAGCGAACTTTGACCAGTGAAAGCTTTTCCACAATACTTACAAATAAACGGTTTCTCTCCACTGTGAATCCTGTCATGGCGTCGAAGGGAACCACGACTAGGGAAGGCTTTCCCACAGTGGTTACATATGTAGGGTTTCTCACCAGTATGAGTTCTTTCATGTCTTCGAACCTTACTTGAAGAAGAAAAGGCTTTTCCACATTGCTGACATTTATATGGCTTCTCTATGGTGTGATTACTGTCATGCTTCAGAAGGTATTCAGGATACATCAAGGCTTTCCTACATTCCCTAAATTTATAGAGACTGTCTTCGTACATCTCATATCCGTATGGTCTATGTCCTGTTTGACCAGGGTTCTGCATACGTAGGGGTGGAAGACCAATAAGTACGTCTTCACTTAAATTGCTTTCACACAGCTTTCCTCCATGAGGGGTTTTCTTGTTCACAACAGTACCTGGAAACTGGCTGAAGATTTTCTCACATTGTCTACCTTCACTGGGTCCATACAGCAATTCCACCACTTCGTTTCTGTGAAAAGTAGAAGGCACATTACTCAAATTTTGTTTACAAGTTACCTGTGAGGAGACTTGTTCTTATTGCACCATTACAATTCTTGAACATGGGCCGGGAGGTGGTGGCGCACACCTTTAGTCACAGCACTCAGGATTCTAATTGTGTGTGTCTGTGTAGGTACATGCACACAAGTGAGGTATCTGTAGAGGCAAGAGCTCAGACCTCCAGGAATTAGATGGAGTACAGGTGCTTGTGAGTTGCCCAACGTGGATGCTGGGAACCAAACTCAGGCTCTAATCAAAAACAGCACTGGTATGTATGTATGTATGTATGTATGTATGTATGTATGTATGTATGTATCTATCTATCTATCTATCTATCTATCTATCTATCTATCTATCTATCTATCTAGTGTGTATGTATGGTCATAGGTAAGTGAGTAAAAACGCATGCACCACTACCTCATTGTAGACATGGAAGGAAAACCTGCAAGAGTTGGTTCTCTTGATTCACCACATGTGTCCGGGGGATGGAACTCAGGTCATTAGGTTGGTGGCAAGCACTTTACCTACCGAGTCATCTCATTGGTCTCTACTGTGTGTTATGTGGTTAATGTTATGTACACGCGGTGTGTCATTAGAAGGTCAGGTGAGAAGGTCAGGCCCCTCTCCTACCGCTTTGAATCTTACCCCTGAGATGGGGACCTCGTATTGAATACGGAACTGACGCCACCTGTCTCACCCCGCCTCAGCTAGGCTGAGACAGCAAACCCTAAGACAGTCCAGGCTCCACTTTTATTTTTAAATGTGGGTGCTGGGGATCATTGAACTCAGGTATTAATGCTCACATAGCAAGTATTCTTACCACCTGACCCATCTATCTGTCCAGACCACATCATTTTTAAACTAATTTTGCTCTCTGTGAGTTCGAGACCAGCCTGGTCTACAAGAGCTAGTTCCAGGACAGGCTCCAAAACCACAGAGAAACCCTGTCTCGAAAAACCAAAAAAAAAAAAAAAAAAAAAAAACAACTAATTTTGTCTATGAAACAAATTTTATGTATCCTGGATTATCAGAAAGTCAACCATATCCTGTTGTTGGTGTATCATGTCACCAATCCTCTATGAATTTTTATAAAATTATTTGAGATTTAGTTATTTTAAAGTTGGACATATTTATTTGCTTGGCTTATTTTTAAAATTTCTAGTCATGACTAGATTCTCAAAAACATTTTCCCTTTATCTTGTTGTATGTGTATAGGTGTTTTACATGTATGTCTGTGTAGCACCTACATGCAGTGCCTGAGGAGGCCAGAAGAGGGCGTCCAATCTTCTGGGACTGGAGTTACAGCTGGTTAGGACCCATGTGGGCATGCTGCCAATCTAATCCTGGTCCTTTAAAAGAACAACCAGCGCTATTAACTACTGTGCTATCTCTACCTTTGATTCCCACACTCTCAAACAGCATTCTTCTCATTTAAAGGGGGCAGATTACCTTAGGGTTCTCCTATAATGTTCATCATCTTCAATCCTCTGGCCTTCCTCAGTTTGTCCTAAAACGCAGATGCAGGAAAAATCATGATGAAGTCTACTTATAATATTCTGTAAGTCCATGATATCACATACCCATGCCTGGCGCATTCACCACATTATCCTTCACATCCTAAAGCACTGAACGGCACTGGCGAGTGAGGCAGATTTGTTCTCTATCCTTAACTGAGGAAGTAACCTCATCCTTACCTATAGCAACGAGGTTTTTGAAGGTTTCCTGCATCACATCTGTGTAGAGTTGCTTCTGGGAAGAATCCAACAAATCCCACTCCTCCAAGGTGAAGCTCACGGCCACATCCTCAAAAGTCAGACAGTCCTAAAACATCCCACAGCAGGAGGAAGAGTAAGATTCACAGCACTGTAATGCAGATGTACTCTGTAGGAAGTCACAGGGTTCTGTGTCCTTCAAAGCATGGTACTCTATTCACCATACAACTCTCCTTCTACCCAGCATTTCTTTTTTTTCTTTTTTTTTTTTTGAGGTGTCTCTCTCCCTTTACTTTTTTTTATAATTTATTTATTTATTAAAGATTTCTGCCTCCTCCCCGCCACCGCCTCCCATTTCCCTCCCCCTCCCCCGATCAAGTCCCCCTCCCTCATCAGCCCTTGGACTTCCCACAGGTCAGGGTACCCAGCATTTCTTGTATTGGACGGGAACTCTTTGTTAAAGAAACAACAGCATAGGAACAGGAACACCAATTATGCTGCTGGATCCGAACTTTGGTTCCCTACAATCCTGCCACTCAGTGCATACACTGCGAACACTAGCTATGAGTCCACATCTCCTCAGAAATGACTGAAACCCGAGTATTTTTGCTGGTGTCTAGATCTTGCCCACTGGGCGGCTCTCAGCAGGGGCTGGAGTTAAAAATGTATCCATATAGTTTCTGTACACAACATATTATTTCCTTAAGTTCCCTCTAAATGTTTGAAAAATTCCAATATTACCACCAGAGGGAGACCACTTGAATTTCCTCCAAAGTGCCATCTGAAAGATGAATCTTTATTGAGTTGGTGTGATAATATTGATCACTTTTTTCATAACTTGTTATTATGAAGTTTAATATATTTATTGTGCCTGCACTAATAGAAAACTTAAGGGAGGTTACAACTAGTTTCTTACAAAGTAACCATGGGAATTCTGGAGAGGAATTTACTAAGGTAATAACAAATATTACTTAAGAAAAATAGAAAATGCCAAAAAAATATGAAGTAATAGGAATCGTGCCACTAATTTTAAATGGAACTCAAATGAATTCAAGATGCCACCAGCCCCATTTGAAAAGGTTACTTTTTGTTGAAATAAGGAAGCGGCGGGGCTGCGTCCCCAACACCCCGGCCGCTTGGCTAGCTCATGTCCGAAATAACAACACACAAACTGTATTCATTTAAGAACTGCTTGGCCCATGAACTCTAGCCCTTACAGGCTAATTCTCGCACCTGGACTAGCCCATTTCTAATGATTGTTTGTAAGCACCCCAAGGTGCGCTTACCGGGAAGATTCTAGCCTATGTCCATTCTGGGTTCGGAGCTGAGAGGAGCTTCATTGCATGCATCTGCCCGGGAGATCGGAGCATGGCGTCTCTCAGGAAGCAGAGCAGAGTCTGACCTCACTTCCTCTTCCGCCCAGCATCCTATTCTGTTTACTCCTCCCAACAATGTTCTAACCTATGAGGGCCAAGCAGTTTCTTTATTGCTCAGCCAATGAAATCAACAGATTGATATATGACACTCCCACATCAACTTTTGCCGGGCAGTGGTGGTGTATACTTTTAATCCCAGCATAGTTTCAGGACAGGCTCCAAAGCTACAGAGAAGCCCTGTCTTGAAGCCCCCTACTCCCCCAAAAAAGAAAAGGTCATTTTTTCTTCAAGTAACTGCAATAGGAAACCAGAGGGAGAGCCCTAGGAGAGACAAATAGCAGCCACCCCTCCCCAGTAGAAGAAGAGAAGGTGGTCCCCATACCCTTCCCCATCAACACGGGCCCCTCTCATTACTCTGCAGCAGTATTCAAATGGCAGAGCCCCATCTTCTCTGGGCTGGGTTAATAAACAGCCTGCTGGCCCCATCCCCTCTTCCCTCAGTATCTTGGAGAGGAGAATACAGCCAGAACAAGAGGATGAAGGTTTGTTGCTGGTAGCAGCAGCAATGGTGCGTGTCTAAGAATGAGCACAGAACAAAAACCAATACAGATGTCCAGAGGTAGCTTGTGAACAGAGGGAAAGATGGTATCAGAATGGGGGGGGGGGGCAGAGAGGAGCAAAAAAAGAGGGGTAAGGTTAGTTCTTTAATGCTCCACTGGAGGAAGGGGAATAACATAAAGTAGAAACAGAAGTGGTGAGTTAGCGCCCCATCTGCCACAGCTGGAAGCCAGAGACAGCTACCTCACCCTGGAGATAGGTGGTAACTCCCATCTGTCACTGTAGGTAGGTCCCAGGTGAGGACAAGGTGGGTGGCACCAATATCTGCCCTACTTATAGTAGACTGGGGGACTTACCCAACCCAGTGAAGGATCCAGGGAAGGTGAGGCAAAAGTGACTGAGAATCCTATCTGGTGACAGTCTGGTGTGGTGGTGGTGGGGGCATGCTGGGATCTAAGCAATCCCTGCACTGTCAATCAACAGAGCTTGCCAGAATAAGATGGGGCTGGGGCCCCTTAAGTCCAGGGAATGCTCCCAAGACCCTCATTGTGGTGGCTCTCAACCATGGTATCAGATATCCTGCATATCACATTGGAATTACGAGTCACAACAGTAGCAAAGTAGCAACAAAATGATTTTATGGTTGGAGGTCACCACAACATGAGGTTGTATTAAAGAGCGACAGCCTTAGGAGGGTTGAGACTCAAGCCACTGTATTAGGGGAACCCCCTCTCTGGAGAGCGAGGTCATGCACAGACACAGACAACAAAAGAAGGATGTATCCCTTGGATGAACCGTATTAATAAATCTGAAGCTTAGAGTCAGCTAACAAGGGAGCTTCAGCCCAACAGAGCCCATTGAATCAATTGGTAAGCAAATCTTTAATGCCACAGTCAGTATCCACCCTAAGAAGACAGCTATCATTAGTCTTTACTCTGGAGATCAGCCAATCCAGTGCAACCACATCTCAAGAGTACTGGTGGACATCCTTCCATCCACATTGACGGGCTGGTGCCACATGGAACAGTTATGGATGGCATCTCTGACACAAATATCCGGATAGGTTAGTTCTGCATGGAGTATGGATTGTGGCAAGGGAGACTAAAGAATACAGTGATCTGTCCTTTGTCACAGGAAGCAATACCAGATTATGCTGTTTTTCAAGAGATTGGGAGCAGACTTAGAGACTTGGGACGACTGGCGTAAATAGAATACAAATAACCCAGGACAGAATTAGGTGCTTCAGTTGCTCACCGTAGTGTTCCAGCAACTCAGTGAGGCTTGAATTTTTCCCATCATTTCTTGACAAGAGTCAAAAGGAAAACAAACAAACAAAAAAAAACCAACTCCAGAGCAAACACACATGTATCCAATGCAGTCTACATTTTGCCAAGATTTGGTCAGTAGAAAAGCTCTGATATTCTACAAACTCAGTATGCAATCGAATACCCAGATAGAAAATATACAATACTCCGAAGGCTGGAGGATTCTAATTTTTGAAAATCTAGAGACAAGTATTTCCTATTTTAGCTTCAGCTTAAGGTCAAACAAACAAACAAAACAAAAAACAACAACAAAAAACCCAAACTGTTCTCTCCTCTGTCTTTTCTACTTTAAAAAAAAAAAACACTTTATTTTAAATTTTGCATGTGTCTGCGTGTGTGCATGTGGTGCATGCATCTGAGTGCAGGTGCCTACGGAGGCCAGAGAGCTAGGACCCTGCTGGAACTGAGGCTTCAGGCTGTTTTGTGCTATCTAACATGGATATGGGAATCAAATGGGTCTTCTGCAAGAGCAGTGTTGTTGTGAAATATTCCTTATAATGCACACAACCTTCCCATGATGCTCACCCAAAGAACAGGTTGACCCGAGGGGAAAACCCTCACCCCTTCCTTTACACCTCTTTTCTACCCCAGTGTACTTGGAAACATCAACATTACGACCATTTTTGCCTATTTACTGGCTTATTGCTATTGCTATACTTTTCACAGCCAAGTTTTCCAATTAGCGTGCAAACTTAAAACCACTGTCACGAACTAACGGTCAAAGGACAATAACAATGACGTCAGAGAGGAGCGCAAGTCTCTTCCTCCAACAGCACAGTTACTTAGGATTCTTTCTACTGAGCTGGGCAGTGTGAGGGGACGCCTGGACACGGGGAGATCTGAAGGTCATAGAGTTAAGATCTGTGCTTCTCGCCAGGGAACTGGAAAGACTTCCCGGAAAACTACCGCTGCAGCAGAGCCAGGCACCCAGCCCCGCAGCAGCTCCCGCTCGCGGCCCCACGTAGAGGCCAAAGCTCTCCCTAGGACCCTCTGGCTGTCACCACACGGGAGGGGGTCTGGTCTAGCGTGGGCAGAGCTGCAGACAAGAAGCCAGGTTTTGGTTAAACGACGGATTCCCGCCGCCAGGGAGCAGAGGGGCTGAGCGCTCCCGCAAGCCCCAGGTTGCACCCCCGTGGACCGTGGACTTAACCCGGGGAGAACCGCACACCCCAGCCCCGCGCTCACCATGTCTCCGCCTGCGGCTGCCTGCGGCCTCACCTCTGCTCCTGGGGTCGGTGCTCTTCCTGCTACCTAGGCTGAGCCCCCAAGACTTCCTCCGCTGACACTCCTTAGGATGGCCGCGCCAGGAAGAAAGATGGCGGGTAAAGAACTTCCGCCTCTGAACTGACAGCTCCCCCAACCTTGGGCACATCTTAGTTCTGCTTCCTAGGTTTCTAGCTGGCTCGGGGCCCGCTTCTGATTGACCATTAGAACTAAACGGGAGGACTCTAATGCTGACAATACACCACCATTTGCAAAACACCACGAAAATCAAGCCAGCACCTTGCAGCTGAAAGAGTTATCAAGCGTCCTAGCCAGTTATGAACCCTGTAACATCAGTATCGACCTGCGAGTCATGGCATACCCATTGGTATGATAGTGGAATGGGAGCTATGGTTGCAACAAACTTCTGATTGCATTTAAGCTCTCTTTCCAGGAAGACTCAATGGGTGATGGTGTAAACTTGCTCAAAAGCCCATCAGTGGGGAGGGCATAGGCCCCGGGCGAGAACTGTTCTGTTGTTTTGCTACATGGACATAATGTCAGGCTGTCTTACAAATATCTGTGTTTGTGCTCATAAATGAGTGTTGCTCTCAGAAGATCAGTGCTGGCCAGGGAAGCGTCTGTTTGCAGCGCGTGATACTTAATACAGATGCTGGTAAGTTGGTCCAAGTGCTGAGAGTAAGTGATGTCTGTTTACCCATCCAAGGTATGGAGAATATCACAAAGGACAGGAAGAATACATGCATTGGGGGGTGGGAAGTGATGCTGTGAATGCTGTCCTCTGCACACGATAAAGCTGTTGAGCTGACAGACCTGCAGACAATGGGGCCTCTGGACATCAGACAATGAGGCCGCACCCTTCCAGAGGAGCTATCCTACTGCACGTATTGGCTTTGTGGGAGCCTAGGCAGTTTGGATGCTCACCTTACGAGACCTGGATGGAGGAGGGTGGTCCTTGGACTTCCCACAGGGCAGAGAACCCTGATTGCTCTTTGGGCTGACGAGGGAGGGGGACTT